ACCATGTTATGTTTTTTTTGTTTGTCAGAATATGATGGATCAACTTTCCATACATAATAGTTTATGACCAGGAATTTTCTGCAAATGGTGATGTGTGCGCCGTTTCTTTTCTCCTGTCGTGACTAAACCCGCTAGCTTGTGATCTACTCTTATTTCTCTTTGTTTAGTGTATCCTAATTACCCTGCAGCTCAATTTAGGAGCCCAGTTTAAAAATAGATACTGTGTGAGCGTAAAGTCCCCTTTGAGTGAGTGATTTTACCTCAGCCAATGTCACGTGCAAATCAGGCCCGAGTCAGTTACCGTAAAGAGAACTGTGAAGGTCTTGAGACAACTACCTTCATGAACGAAGAAGCTGTTCATAAATAAAAGGGAAGGAGACTGGAATTATATAATGTCTAGTTTATTCTAGGCTGATCGTGTTTACTCAGTAATGAAGGAAGGCCTGTCATTCAATACATAGGCCCAAACCAGAAGAGTTCCGTATATGAACACATGAAGCTGCTGTATACTGAATCAAACCATTGGTGTGTAAAGTTCAGCATTGTTTACTGTGACCGGCAGAGTCATGGCTTTCCTCTGTGTGCGTGTGCGTGCGTTGCTTGAAAATACGTAACTTACAGAAGAGCTTGTAGCTTCACTCTCATGTGTAGTCTGATTCCCCTATAACAGGGGTGGCCAAACTGCGGCTCGGGAGCCACATGCATATTGTGCAGTTTTCATGCATATTGTGCAGTTCCTGGCAGGGAGGCGGGGGAAGCAAAGGGGAGGCATACTTTTCCTTCCTTTCTTCCTTCCCCCTACCTCCCCCATCCACTTGCTTTCTTTGTTTCTCTGTTTCTCTTTCTTTCCACCTCTTTCATTCTTTCCACCTCTCTCTCTCTCTCTCTCTCTCTCTCTCTCTCTCTCTCTCTCTCGCTCTCTCTCTGACAAATATCATTAGCAAACAAATAAAGTTCATTGGAAAAATAAATATCATTATCACTATCTGTTTTTACCCCTTTTGTTTTTATTTTGCCAGTCTCATTTAAGGTTAATAAAAACCAAATTTGCATATTTTAAAATAAAAACGTGTGTATAATATTTGTTCATGACTTGTGGCTCTCAAATATCTGATGTTTAGTTTTGGCTGAGCTCTGGAGGGGTGGAGCCTCAGCAAGCCCTGGCTCAAATTAAACCTTGTGTTAGAGGTGAGCAGGAGGAGATACGGAGACCACCAGATTCGGCTGTAAAGCCTTCCTTCTGAAAACTATTAAATAGAATTAATTTGGGCAAAAATGATTTTTTTTTCTTTTGCCTTTGTTTCTTCGTGTATTGGAGTGCGTATACACTAATAGTTTTGTGGGCTTATTTGCAAGGATTGAAGTAACTGGTATCCTGAAAGGCTGGAATCAAAATATTGCCCAGGTACAAGCTGCAGTCATCTTGACCTAGGTTTTGTGCATTTTTGTGCCTTCCTCCGGCAGCCCAAGCAAAATGAGCTTGTTCAGGCTCTAGACGCCTCTTGCCAGAAGCCAGGAATGTCTGTATGCTTTGTAAAAACACTGTACAGTATGTTGCCGTATCCCCACTGCAAACAAGACACACATTTTTCTAATGATTTGACATGGTCTAACCACAGCATGCTGAACTTGCTTTCTGCTGCTAACTTGGTGCTTTTTAATTCCTGTGCATTATGACATGTTGCTTGTCATCAACCAAAACCACAGAAGTTTATGTTTGGCTTCCTAGAGACATATGCAAAGCTGCTTTAGTAAATTCTGACCGAACAATTAGCAGAAAATTTGTCAGTAAACTTCAGAGCTAGTTTCAGTAGTTCAGTGGAGCTTCATTGTTTTGGGTGACACAAATGCATTGTAAACATGGCAATGTAATTAAACCAGATTTATAACTATTTTGTATTTCCAGTACCGGTACAAAGCAGATGATATGTGCTCATTGGCATCCGCTAATATTTTCAAAACACCACGCCAGCCTTGAAGTAACAATACTTGTTGAGAGTTGCATCGAACCACTTCTTCCAGGTTCAGCAATCCTTTATGTTGTGTAGTGGGTTAGACGCATGTAGAAACCACAGAGACGGATGTAGTGATCAGCATGGTTTACTGGTACACAACTAGAACACAGAACACCGGCCGGTTGGCCAACTATATACAGTACCTGGGAATACCCCTAGATCCTATTGGTGGGTTTAAACCTCCCGCCAAAGTCCCTATTGGTTCCCCAAGGAAAATCCAGGAGCCTAGTCCGTATTGTTCCTAGTGAGTTAAGCTCGGCAGTAAATCGCTGGTGCTTAGTGGCGGTCAGCGGACATAACACTTTACTAAAACTATGAGCCTGTTACACAAGTTCCATTCCTTGAGTGCTTAATTCCTAGTACAGCACTATAAGATACATTTTCCTTTGGATGACAGGGCACTAGAGCCTTACAGTGTAATACTTGTTTATTTCAGAACTATTCAAGACAACAGTTTTTGAGCAAACAGAATTCCAGGGCTTTTTTTTTTTTTTTAAGGGGTGCCGGAACTCTCAAGAGGGAAATGAAAATTTCAAGCTGTATACTGAAAGCTCATGAACTTTTAAACATTTTTAAAAGAATTTTGTCAAAGAGGTTCTGGAACTCTGTTCCGGCGCATTCCCCCAGAAAAAAAGCCCTGCAGAATTCTAAATCAGACTGCTCAACTGCTAGTCCTGCATCAGGTTCCCAAATAAAGCATCTGCGTCCTAGGGTGCTTTACCCTCAGCCATGTCATCTCTGTTTCTGTTTGTAATTGGGCCCCCTTTTACATTACAAAGCCCTTGTGCTTGTTGAGTGATGACAGGATGACTTTCAGTCAGGTGTTCCATGAGACTTATACAAGCCCTTTTCTCCTTGGGACCAGAGTTTACTGCACTGCTTTCTCCCCTTTAAAGCATCCTATGGAACGGCTATTGGCTTTGCTTGCAAAATCATGAATTTCACAGCAAAACCAGTAGTGGCTGTATAGGATGCTTTAAGGAAGAGAAAACACATACAGGAGAAGGCATCCATCACTTCTGCCTGTGTGCCCAGGTCACAAGGAGAAAAAAGGTGAACTTGAGTCTGAGAGGCCCAATGCTCCCATTGAACGTCTGATTTAAACTCCTCCTCTCATTACACAACACGTATGAGAACTTTGGGTTTTCTTGTTCTTGTTTTTAATTCTTTATTAATTATTAAGTTCACAAAAAAAAGAGCAATCTAAAAGTAAAACTATTATAACAGTATCGACTGGTAGATAATCCCAGAAAACCTAGGCTAAACCTACATTTTCATATAATTTTCATACACCCACATAACAACTCATATTGATACATGTTTACAATAACCTTACAATTTTAATCAGATTCTATAATCATTTCTACACAGAAAAACTTCATTCTGTCTCAGAAACCCAATAACTGGCTTCCGGCTTCCATTATAATCACAGGGTGAAAAAGACAACTGGGAACCATCAATGAAAGAATTGTTTACTGTTTTCCCCATGATATCCCAAGGTTTGCCAAACCAGGCATCTGTGGAATGCCCGTTTGGGTTTTTCCAATTGGCTGCAATCACCTGTTGTGCAGCTGCAATCCATTTAATAATCCGGCCATAAATCAAAAATAAAAAGCTCTGGAGACATAGTGGGGGCATTTTAGCTGGCTTAAACTGCAGTTTGATCCGTAAGAAACGCGATCACACTCATCTCCTGACTGCGCAGCACATCGCAATATGCCTGTCTACACTTCAAGCGCTCAGCAGAGCACATCGGCGAGTTTTTTTTATGTTTACGCAGTTTGCGCGTACGCATAGGCAGGCTTCCTTATAATGAAGCCGATTGGCTGCCGCTCGGCCACGTGCTCTTGGGGTGCATGCGCGTATTGTTTTATTTATTTTTTGACAGGGCAAATGGAGCTGTGAAGGAGGGAGGGGGGTGAAGAGCGCGGGCAAGCGAGGCTGAGCAGGCAGTCTCCCGGGGAGGGTCCTAGCGCTGCCGGCTCCTGCAGGGGAGGCGGGGCAGAGATCCTTGCACGTGCATCACCTCCTCCCGCCCCTCCTCCCTCTTATTTTATTTTTTGCACGCGCGAGTCAGGCCCGCTGCCGGCCGGCCGTTGATGAAGTCCCCTCCTTCACCGCTGCCCCGTCTGGGGCTGGCGCTGCATGTGTGTGACCCGTTTTGGCTGGGGATAGTGCCCAGGAGGAGAGTTAGCAGCAGCTGAGGAGGAGGAAGAGGAAGAGGAGGAGGAGGAGGGGACGGTGGAGTCATAGAAAACACTCTGCAGCCGCAGCCAGAGCAAAAGCGGCCGCAGCAACAGCAGCGGCGGGCAGGGGAGGAGGAGGAGAAGAGGCGGCTTTGCACAGGCGCAGAACAACTTTTTAAAAAAATTAACGACTGGGCAAAGCTTTGCCCAAGCGCACATTGCCTACTAAAAAAAAATGGCGGGTAAAAAGCGGAAGCCTCGGGCTTCTGAATGGAAGTGGCTCTACAATGGTGGAGAGCGATCAGATGGGGGTAAAGCGGTTACAACTGGTGCACTCAGGATACCACCAATTATGGAACTGGTGGCAGAATACACCGGTTTAAAGCTCTTTGCAACGGTTAGGGACGGAAGGCAGATGTTCTACGTGTGAACGCCGGTAAGTACACCAATTCCAACCGGCACCTATACCGTTGTAAATGCCCCGTCTGAACGCACCCAGTGAGAGAAATGTCTGTCATTTGTGAGATCTTATCAGCCACTATGTCCCAAAAGGAACGAGAACTTTGTAACATACAAACACACTACACAACCCATCCTGTAGATAAACTGTCCATTCATGAAAATATCTCTAGATGTTAACTTTCCACTAAAGAAATATCAGACAGTCATCCCAGATTATTAGCAAGAAACCACATGTCAGCCAAGCAACCAGGATCTGACAACTGGAACAATACTAAGAACATATTGGAGTTATTTCATATATAATGTTCTCATCATTTGTTCATCTGTGTTCCACTAGAGAACTACTGTGCCACAGCAGATAAGAGGCTGTGCTATAAACCAGGAAGTCTTTATGTCATATTTCACCACAGTCATGAAGCAGCCTTCAGCAAGACACTACCCTTACATCAGCTACATCACGCTTTCTAATAATAAAGTAACAAATCCCTTTATGATCAGGGAAGCAATAAAACCTGGCCAACCACAGACAAAGTAGGGGCTTCCACATACTTGGAGGACCTCTGCAGGTATGCAGAAACATGCAACTTTGTAAACTAACCAAAAAGAAAAGGGGAGAAAAAGCCTCAGTGACCTGCTGAGGACTGAATGTGCTCCAGGAGGCATGGATGGAATGTGGAGAGCAGGCGTGAAGCTGGTAAAGGAGTACAAAAGGCAGTTGAGGGAAAATTCATGTGCTCAAGTCCCAAGGGGTGTATGGAGACTTAGAGGGAGGGAATTATGATGGAATTTCCACACATACCTCTCGATTCCTTATGAGTTGCCAGTTTGTAGGGATAATAATACTGATTTACCTGTCGATTACGAAGGTAATGAATATGAAATGCTTCTAATGCTCTAAATTGCTGTATAAATATGCCCTTTTGTAGATTTCTTTCTCTGGATTTCAAGGCAAAGTGTGGCAAAGTGTGGTGTAGCTGTCCTAAACAAATGTTCTTCAAAGTAAGTTACATCACAACCAACAGGGTTCAAAAAGAATATGTTCAAGGGCTGATATGACTGCTTTTCATATTTCTAAACAGTTAAACCAGGAACTTTATTAGTGGGCTAATCAGTACAGTACAGTTTTATTATTACGATCCAAGATCAGATGGTACATTAGTAATAATTACTTTAACACGACTAAGCAATAAAAGGGCTAGTAAGTACCATGCTGAAGGACTCTGGTGCTCAATATGTTGTCGAAGGCTTTCATTAGATTTTCCGGGTAGATTTTCCGGGTTGTATGGTCATGGCATTGTAGAACCTGACATTTCGCCAGTAACTGTGACTGGCATCCTCAGAGGTATAACACAGAAAGATGGAGTACTCTCTGTGTCAAGGTGAGAAGAAAATGGTAGGCGGGTAATTTATATCAACTCCAGAAGGTAGGGTAGGGCTGAGTCATTATCTTGCAGGAGTTCGCCAGGCTATGAACATGCTAATGGAGGAGCTTTCCTGAGGAGGTTCTTTTGTATATGGATTGTTTCCTGAGGAGGTTTCCTGTTTCCTGAGGAGGTTCTTTTGTATGTGGATTGGCTGTTGAAACTCTAATCTTATCTGTAGTGCTATTGTCACAATTTTGTGTTTTTCAGGACAGGAAGCCATGCCCTATTTATTTTTAAACTCTCTTCTTTCCTTGTTAAATTTTGTTTATGTTTATGAATTTCAATGGCTTCCCTGTGTAATCTGACATGGTTATTGGAAGTGTTGTCCAGCCTTGGAACAAAATACTGTGTCCTGTTTGAGTTAGGCTAAGTTCAGCCACTGCTGATTTTTCAGGTTGGCCAAGTTCTTTTATTCTTGTCTGAATGCTACGCTGTGTGGTCCCGATATAAACTGTGTGGTCCCGATGTAAACTCTGGCGCTGTTTGGAGTATGTGCAAAGGGCACCTTCTAGGAGCTTTATGCCACTATTCTGCTCATTCAGTTTCTTCTTCATGGTGGTTGTGTTTAGACAGAGTAGTATCCACATGAATATTGTGCATTATCAGAGCTATTTTTGGGCAGGAACGCACAGGAACAGAGTTCCGGCTGGCTCCCAAGTTGGCCATGCCCAGCAGGAACTCATTAGCATAATAGGCCACACCCAACAGCAGAAACTCATTAGGATTGGCTACAAATAGGGGTGTGTGGCCTAACATGCAAAAAGCCCTGGGTTTTGGCAACAAACAAGATAAAGAGAATAAGAAGCAAAAGGTAGGTGTGGCTGGATGACCACGCTTCTGGTAACATGGGGTGTGGCCTAATATGCGAATGAGCTGTGCTGTCAGGGTGTGGCCTGATATGCTAATGAGTCCCTGCTGTTGGGTATGGCCTAGTATGCTAATGAGTTCCTGCTGGCCTTTTTCTACAAAGAAAGCCCTGTGCATTATTATTCTGCTATTGCCATGATTCATAATAGAATTATTTTGAGCAAACAAGCCAATCCAGTTGCGAATGATTGCTGTAGCACAATGATAGAGAATAGTTATATAGATATCAAAATTTATTCCAAATCTATAATGGAGCCTTTAAATATTATTTTACTATTATCTTAGATAGACATATCAACATAAGTCTTAAAGATACTTACCTTCATAGACTCAAATCAGTTATCATATAAAGACAACGTAAATCTGGTTTATGGTACCTATGTCTTAGTGTATTTTCAAAAATCACAAAAGGTTGTCATTTATGTGAGAAAGTCGCTTGAGAGGACTGAATGCAAATGAATATATGTGTCAAGTTGTAAATGATAACCCGTAAATGACAATCTTTGGTGATATTTGAAAATATACTACGACATAAGTATCATAAACCAGATTGATGTTGTCTTTATATGATAACTGATTTGAATCTATGAAGGTGTGTCTCTTTAAGACTCTTGTTGATATGTCTATCTAAGATAATCGTAAAATAAAATTAAAGGCTCCATTATAGATTTGGAATAAATTTTGTTATCTATATAACTATTCTCTATTTACTTTTGGTTTGTATATGTACTATAGCCGTAGTCCTCCTATTTTTGCTGGTATGTAGCACAATGATAGTGCAATATCCAGTGATATGTGGATGTAACCTTGTAAACTTTCTAGCGCTGCATTGAAGAAATCTGTATGTGGAGCTAGATTTTTCTTTAAAAAAAAAAGTATAGCATCATGATGGAGTAGAGAATCACTTGGAAAATACCACAGTGTTGTATTTTGGCTACAGGTATTCAAAAACTGCAAAACACTGGCCATGTCATAGGAACACACATCTGCACATGGAAAAGAAGGACGTTGTCAGATAAGAGGAATTTCACAGTGCAGTCCTAAGCAAAGTCACACCCATCTAAATAAACACTTGGGATTGCTCTGTCAGAACGTGCTTCAGATCAGATTTATTAATACAGTCAAAGACCAGCATAAATCATACACACACAGTCACGCGTAATAAGGTTAAATAAAAGAATACCCATATAGTAAAAAATAAAATTTAAATTTGATAAAAGATATCACTGATTTAAATAAATATTATATTAAATTTAAGAACCACTGCTTAAGATAAATTTGTGAATTTTGCCAGCACCCACAAAAAACCTTGGACAGGAAGCTGTAATTTGTGGGTTCGCGCCTGTAAGGAGCTTCCTAGCAATATCAGAAGCAGGGCAGTCCAGTGCCTTTCTAAGGAATGGAAGCATGATGTGGTGTATTCAGTGCAAGGCAAACTGTATGTGAATCACCCTATTGAAACACCATGTGAAGCTTCGTCCTGGGCTAGAATCAAAATCCCTCCAATCATATTGGTAGCCCAGGAAGAACCAGCCAATCAAGTACCAGCAAGCTCCCTGAGCGGGAACTAATGTGATTTGGACCTTAACTCTACAACCTCATAGGTTGATATTGTACAATAGGGCATGGCTACATTAGCCGGGAGAGTTTAAAAGTGGAACAGCTTCAATGCTAAAGCTGTTCTGGCTATCAGATGTTGATCCGCGTTGGAGTTGTGTTCGAGTTGCTGAAGAAAGCTGATCTTTTGCTGAATCACTCTCCGACTATTCTGTTAAGTGGGCGACTTAACACATGAACTTAGCACAAATTTATTGGTAGAAACAACACTGAAACAAGACATGTTCAGTAGATTCAACCATACCAGATCCTCAGGGGCAAACCCTCTGAAGCATAGGGGTCTTTCTATATCTCCCCTCAACCACTGCAGACTGTCAGTGTGTGTGTGGGGGGAATTGTTAGGGGGTTTTTTGGGGGGAATTTATAAGAACAAGAAGGTGAAAAGATTGTAATGAATGATATCTTGGAGAAGAAGGTTAAATAAGGTTTTATCTCTTCAACAATATTTCTCAAGCAATAATCCCGGTTTTCGTAAGATAAATTGGCTTGTGCGGATGCATAAGGAAGGAGGGAAAGACGGTGGCCCTTGTGAAGCTGACTCCAAGAAATGTGCTGGCTAAGAGCATGTTTTGCTATGGGTGATGAGACAGAAGATTTTTGGAGTCCCATTAAAGAGCAGCGAGTTGGCAATTGTTTATTTTATTTTTATTACATAGGGTGGGGCAAAAAATATGTTGACCTATCTCTGGCTTGGATACCTTAACACCAAAGTCTGCTCCCTTGCATATATTTGGAGGGCCAGAACAGGTGCCTTTTGAATGCTGCACTGCAGCAGTTGCATGGTTTGGAACTTTAACAGCAGCATGAAGTGAAACAAGAGGGACAGCATCGTGTGAGTGCATGGGGAGAGGGGTGGGGGCTCATGGTTGTGTGTGCATGTGCGTAAAGGGATTCAGTTTATAGTGACCCCTGGAAAGGCCAGAGCCCTCAAGTTCCCATTCTGAAGTCAAGCACAAATAGAGCAAAAGGGCAAGCAACTGGTTGAACACCTGTGGTTGCACTGGAAATACGTTATAAGGTGAGGAATCCACCTTATTTTTATTTCATTCATAAGAACAGAATAGATGGGAAGGCACAGGGGTAGGTTGGCCATCGTGGCCACCGGTGAAAGTCCTAGTGGGGTGATGGCCTGGGAGACCGCTTCTCCTGCTGTCCCCCTTCCAGGCCACTTGGGTGAGTCACCTGCAGCTGCTACCATCAACTGCCCCTCCCTCTGTGGCAGGGGCATGGCAAAGGAGGGGCCCTTTTCCTAGGGTATTTTGGCTTCCCAGTCTGCCCTTGGCAGGACAGGAGCAACACAAACATGTTCTACACCTTCTGTTCTGTTCCTTTTCCTCAGCATAGTGCCTTTAAAAATAACATATAGGTCCTTGGGAACTTATTGGGGATTCTCAATGAAATCTGCCTTCCCATCATTATAGATCTTCCACTGCACTGGGCAAGCTGCAAGGGCATATTAAGAGCTTTTTAGGATGTACTTGCAGTTCAGCTGGGGTAACGGCAAAGGCCAGGCTGATTCCCTTTGAGTGTGTGTCTTAGAACACGCTTCATAATTCTGTGCAAAAAACTCAGATTGCTTAAGAGACAAATCAGTATAGAAACATGCAAGAGCACCTCCAGACCATGGAATTGCTTTATTAAGGGGGTCGGTATACTAAAGGTGGCTCAAGTGGTTAAGACGCTGAACTGCAGGCTGTGGAAGGTCAGTAGTTCAGCAGTTCGAGACCCAGGTGCCGCATGACGGAGTGAGCTCCCGTCTCTAGTTCCAGCTCCTGCCAACCTAGCAGTTCGAAAGCAAGACATTGCATGTAGATAAATAGGTACCACTTCAGTGGGAAGGTAACAGCGTTCTGTGCGCCTTGGTGTTTAGTCATGCCGGCCACATGACCACGGAAACGTCTTCGGACAGCGCTGGCTCTTCGGCTTTGAAACGGAGATGAGCACCGCAACCCTAGAGTCGGACTCGACTGGCTTTTGAGCAAGGGAACCTTTACCTTTACTATACTAAAGGGGCAGGTGCATATTCATATTAGCACATGTAAAAAAAGTGCAGCATTTCCTTTGAAGCAGAATCCACTAGGTCAAAAATCTATCGTGTAATCAAAATCCAGCATAAAACAATGTATAAATCATGCTAAAAGATGGGGGTTTTTTACTTTAAACCAACAAAGTCTCAAGATGATGAGGCTGCTGTGTGTTTAACTTTAGGTCTGACATTGTTTTAAATTTTCAGAACCGTACACTGTTTTTCAGGCATATTTTTAGCTTTATCTAGATTCAGACATCCTGACATTCTTCCTGATGGTGGCCAGTAAAGCATGAACTTAACAGTACATAATGTTTTTGTTTTTGTTTTGTTTTCTCATTCCGAGTGCTGCTAACTAGCATCTGCTAAACGTGTTTTTTTTTTCCATCACGCATGCCACCAGAATATTTTTTATGTCCTGGCAATGTTGTGACTTTTGCAAGACAATACTACAGCACGCTTCTAGCATACAGTTATGGGAAGAACAGCCTGGCTGTGGCAGAGAGATCTTAAGGAGTGAGTTGCGTCACTTTTTAAAGCAAAAGAATGGACTGATGTTTACTCCCACACAGGAGTTGTGCAGTAGAGGACTGAACTCCTGCCATAGAGGGTTCTCATCACATTTCCCCAAGTATCAAATATTTTGGTTTTTGGTAGTCAGAAAATGAAATATCTGCACTACAAGGCAGTACGTTCAGGAAGCCATATATGATAAGCGGAAAACAAGTGCATGCTTGTTGCACGGAAAATCGATCATGTGGGACAGGGTCTATGTATAAGGCACTGTTGTTTGTGGTTATAGCCAAGCTGGGTGTTAACGGGTGCACCTGCAGATGTGTTGATCCCCAACTTCCTTGCTCTAAATTGGGTTAGGACTTTGAGCAGCATCTATGTGAACATTTGTGTTTTCTGAAGGCCGCTTTCCCACCTAGGTTTGGATTTTAGAAAATGGCTCCCGAAGATAAAATTGTGGCATGGGAAAGGTGTAAATGCATGAGTGCTTCTGAGTCAGACACAGCTATGCAGAGATCTTCTTGGCCAGTCTGTCTTTGAAGGTGACTCACTTATGAAGCTTTCCTACGTGAGAGAATTAACTGATAGGTGTGACTTGCAAGAGCACTGGCCTATGAAAATTCGCAAGATAGACTAAGGGCACAGCAAACTAAAGAGCATAGACATACGAGAGGTTGCTGCAAAAGTTCAAACACTCAACAAAAAATAGCAAACTTGTCAAAGCACATTATCACTAATCAATAGCATTTTAATCTTGATTTGTTTCAGTGAATATCAAGAGACCAAAGTCCCATCAAGATGCAAGAAAACGGCAACAGGACGAACTTTCTCGAGTTTTGACTGCTCGTTTCGACGTGTGTCTTTGTCAAACATCCTATTAGACATAAACAAATGTTATGATAGAGAAATAAACTCCAGTAGCAATATTTACACAAAGATTATTGCAATAAAAGCTTATTTTGTACATACAATTTTCCAGTGTTCTTCTTCACTGTAAATATTTGTATTTTAAATTTACGGGAGCATTTCTAATGTGATATATTTGTATTATAGAATGTTTGAGTGCCTTATGGTGCAATTGATGTGAAGAAGAACACTGTCTAATAGGATGTTTGACAAAGACACACGTCGAAACGAGCAGTCAAAACTCGAGAAAGTTCGTCCTGTTGCCGTTTTCTTGCATCTTGATGGGACTTTGGTCTCTTGATATTCACTGAAACAAATCAAGATTAAAATGCTATTGATTAGTGATAATGTGCTTTGACAAGTTTGCTATTTTTTGTTGAGTGTTTGAACTTTTGCAGCAACCTCTCGTATGTCTAGGCTATGAAAATTCGCAACAAGGGTAAAGTGGCCCAAGTGAGAAATTAAGCATTGTGTGGTTTTCCTGTGCCCTTCACTTAAGTTTCTCTTTCACCACTGGGGTTTTGCTCTACTGGCTTCACTGTTCCTTGCTGCCTGCCATCAATTCCAATTCCTTGTGTACCACCTTCAGAACTGTTGCAGTCCACATCCGATATTTCCACAGGGTTGAGGAGGTACTGCCAGCGTAACTGTGCCCTCTCCTGGCATAGTCCATGCATTGAACTGTCGTCATATCTGTGCTCCAGTCAGTACTGAAATTCAGTGCACCCTTTCTTTTAATTTGTCCTCATTTTCACGTTTGTTATTTTACTTCACAGAAAAAGTACAGAAAAGGTTCGGTTGATATTTTCAAAATTAAATGTGTGGAAATTGTGAAGAGTGATGGTGGTATCCCCTGTCAAAATAAATATCCATTTCAGGTAAGTTTGCCTGGTTTGAGAACCCAGTCAGCCCTGTATTCAGGTCGTAACCATAATGCTTATTTATTCATACAAAGTTTCTTTTACAGGATTTCAATATGTATCTGTTTGTTGTTTTTTTACATTTAAAACATTCAGTCATCCCCACAGGCATAGTATACAGTTCCTTACTTACTTACTTACTTACTAAGAGAGCCAGTTTGGTATAGTGGTTAAGCGCGCGGACTCTAATCTGGGAGAACCGGGTTTGATTCCCCACTCCTCCACTTGCACCAGCTGATGTGACCTTGGGTCAGTCACAAGCTCTGGCACAGCTGTCCTTGAAAAAGAGCAGTTTGTGTCAGAGTTCTCTCAGCCCCACCCACCTCACAGGGTGTCTGTTGTGGGGAGGAGAATGGAAAGGAGTTTGTAAGCCTCTCTGAGACACCTTTGGGTAGTGAAGGGCGGGGTATAAATCCAATCTCTTCTTCTTCTAAGTGCCCTCAAGTCACATCTGATTTGCACAATCCCCACAAGGGGCTTTCAAGGCAAATGAGGAGCAGCGGTCGTTTGCCCAGCCTGCACAGAGGTCTCCCTTCCAAGTACTGACCCTTCCAAGTACTAATGCTGACAAGATTGGGCTACACTCTGCTGCCTTCCCAGTAACCGTTCCTTTCCACACTTAAAACTAGGCTACTGTAAAGTACTGGGTTCGCCGCATGGAGGACTCGGACGACGACATGCTTTTGCACACGTTTATTGTACTTCACTCCAACTAAGACTAACTCTAACGGCCCAACAGGGCCAACTATATACATATCCACCCAGCACCCCCTATTCCCATTGGAGGGTTTGAATGTCCCGCCAAAGTGGCTATTGGTTGGGGCTGGGGGAAACCAGGATCCAAAGTTTCCTTTGTTCCAGGAGCCAAGCTCCTGCATGTGCTGCGGACCCCTGGTGACAGTCCACGTACATGACAGCTACTTTGAAGAGAATCCAACAGACACAATTCATTTCATCATATCATAAAGACATTTTGATTTAGAAATTATGTCAATTGGATGTTACTTCTCTGTGACCTGTCAACAGAACTGATTGCATTCTTAATGCCTGCCTTTATTCCATTTGCAAAGGCTGCTGCAGGTTTCCCCCCCAATGTTTATTATTTCTTATTAATCCCTGTAAGTAACAACTACAGAAAACACAAAGAATTTGTAGCAAAGCACACAGTTTAAGGGAAGCCTATAAATTGGGGAAGAGTCATTCAAAAACCCAAGAGATTAACTGCAATCCGAAGCAAAATTGCACCTTTCTAAGCTTGGTGAATTCAGTGGATTTAGAAAGATTGTAAATCTGTTTAGGATGGCAGTGCCTTTCCTAGGCCTGACTACACCTGCTTAGGATTGCTCTCTTGGGGGGCCAGACTACACATTATATGTTTGGACTAGTTGGGTTCAGGGAAATTCGAACAAACTTTCTTTCCCCGCAAGTCACACAGCAGCTGCAGGGAAAGGTATTTTTAAAGTCCCCAGGAGCCTGACTGAGCTCGGGATGATGAGGTGGGAGGGCTCTCTCCCCTTTGGAGTATTGTGTGCATGTAAAGCTCTGAAGATGGGCAGATTGACTCATTAGAGAAAAGTAATATGTAGTTAGTCAGTTAAAAAGACATTCTTTCTGAAACTGAATCTGAGGGTAACACAGAGAGCTGCCAGTTGGCCAGTCAGAGACTTAGCTGTTTTCCCCAGCATAGGGAGAGAACGGGTGTGAAGAGGACAGGAGGGGTTGCTAGAAATCATGGGGGAAGTGCAAGATATTTGCTGTGTTAGCACAGTGAAGTGAAGAGCCCGGGGATAGAGGATGTAGGCCCCCCCGCCCGCCTTCACCCCCCCCCATTGTTTCCACAGCAGTGGTGAGCTTTTCCCATGTCTGTGTGGAAACAACCTAAATGTAAGCAAGTGCTGTAACTCCGTAGCACTTGCTATAATAATTTATCTTGTTTCTTCTTCTTTCTAGGTTGTGTACGATAGTAGCACACTTTATATTTTTGCTCCCACTCCGTACAGCAGGGATCAGTGGGTACGGCAATTGAAAGAAGGTAATGGGAGCAGTTTATTAAACCCATCTGGTGAAAGTTTGAATGGAGATAGGGAAAGGATCTAACCGCAAAGGACCAACTAAGAGCTTTCCCACGCAGACATGTTTAAAGAGTCCTCAGCCTACATGTTTATAAAAGCAAGAACGCCACCACTTTCAGCTGGCATACTGTTTTCGAGCTAAAAAGTAGATTGAGGGCTTTTTAATAAGTATGTGGGTGAGGAAGGAAGGGGCTGTGACAAGTTATGCCACAGGTTTTAGAAGCTTTAACAATAATTCCTTCTTAGGGAACCCTGCCAACAGAACTAGACATTAGGAAATGTGTGTTTATTGGCATAATCACTTATCTGCTGGTTAATGCTAATAGATGGATGGTGGAGTAATTGTTTAATTGTTTCTGTAACTGCTGAGTTTCCTCTGCAAATTTTCCCCTCCCTGTTTTTTTCCCCTTCAGTACAGCTTTGCTTTTTCTGATATCAAAGCCTGACTGGGGGGAAAATTAAAAATGATTGGGAGCAATGTTCCCTCTAAGCTGTGGAGTCTGTGTGCAAAAATTCTACGTTGTAAGCTACTGGCATTAAAGCTGTGAGCAAGCGATTTGGCTACTGCATAAATTAGTTTGCTCCGGAGCCATCCTTCCTGAGCTAAGACAAAAATGTGTGAGCTGGAGGCTAGCTCACACTAACTCAGCTTAGAGGGAACACTGGTTGGGAGAGGTATTTGCAAGTGCAGGAAATGGTCAGGCATCTCCTTCTCTGAAAATGGCCTCCCACCCCCTGTATATACATTCTGAGGGAAACACAGAATGTCTAGCTCTGTGTTTAACGTCTAGCTCTGCCTTGAAAACTATAGTTCTTTGAGGGATAAATAATCTATTGAGAACCCCCGGCATATCACCAAACTGTAATTAGCAGAATTCTGTGTTGAAATTGAGTATAGTGCAGGTGCATAGCTACGGTGGGGGCATTTCGGGGCCATGCCCCCTTGTTAGTGAGCTCTGCCCCATCTGTAGCTCTGCCCCATCCGAGCAGCTCCCCTGCCTGCAGCCCGTAGACTTGGAAAGAGCCTCTTCCTCATCTACTGGCTGTGGGCGAAATCGATGCTCACGGCTTGAGTGGCGAGCTTGCCTGCAACCAGTCGATTTTTTTTCTTTTATAATTTTTTAATTTGTGTGACTTCATAAGTGACGTCACGCCCCCTCGGTGCCCCCCACCAATAAATTCCTGGTGTAGAGAGTAAAGGTTTATAGTATAGATAGTTCCAAAGTATTAAGTTTGTGTCTGCTAACCTCCTCTTCACCCATCTACTCAGTTTTGTACCATGAGAGCAGCAAAAGAACAAGAAAAGTATATTTCACACTTTCACCCTCCCCAAATAATTAAACATATTTTTCCCTGTTAATCATTTGACTGTTCAATAATTGGTGAATAAGGTCTGTCTGTGCAGCAGTTAAGATGTAGTTACTCTTTGAGGAATGGAAATCATGGTTGCTTTGGGAGAAAATATTAAAGATTTGTTAAAACCGTAATGAAATTACACATATTCTTTGAAGTTCCAGTACTTTAAAGATGATGTTTTGTTTTGTTTGTAGAAATAAAGAAAAGAACAACAATAATATAATGGTTAAATACCATCCTAAATTCTGGACTGATGGAACCTATCAGTGTTGCAGGCAAACAGAAAAATTAGCACCTGGCTGTGAAAAATATAACCTGTTTGAAAATGGTAAATGTTCATATTTCATATACCGCTCAGAATAATTTTCATCCATGCATCTATTGACGCTTCTCCTTTCCGGGGGCCTAGTCATTGTCTGCTCAGTGTTTTATGGATAACAACAGTTAGGCCCAGCTGTGAGTATTCACAGACTGAAAGGGAAGAGTGTGGGAGAGGTTCGGTATGATCTTGTGACTAAGCAGTCATCAATATTATGGCTGCACATAACACCAGTCTTATTATTATCTTTCAAAAATCTTACCTTTATTACCCTTATTTGTATAAACTTTCAGTAGTAATCTGTACATTTAATTTTCTGCTTTCTACTGTTTGGTTTAAGGTATAAGAACATTGCCTACACCAGTACCAGATAAAAATAAGGTATGGAGAGAATTCTGAACTGACCATCTCCGGATGATAGTTATTTGCATTTGGTCCAATGTTTTTTTGAAGATTAGAGTCCTCTTCCAATAACTTTGAAATACAGGTTGCGAACTAAACCTAGTCCATTTAAAGAAAAGCACTTACTACTAATGCTGCCAGTACTTCCCATGTGATTGTAGGTCTTGTAACAGTTCTTCATTAGATGCTATATTACGTCCATAGTTGTCACCTATTTCAAAGTCTACCCCAAATTTCAAGGGGCAGTAGGCACCACTAGTTTCTGTGGACTACAGGGATGGAGCCTGCTACGCATCCAGTGCCTTTTGACTTCCTCATCTCATTGACCTCAAGGCAGAACCACATATTGTGAGGTATATAAGGAGGGTTGGATCCAGACGCAATTTTCCAGTGGGCAGAATGGAACTTTCCTGCCTCCCCCCCCCCTCACTGTAGCCTCCTGATAGCCACGAAATGATGTTCATGAGGGATGGGAGACCCTGAGAAACAATATAAAGGGAGTCTGCAGCAAGGAGAGGGAATCAGTGGAAATTGCAAATTTAATCTGGATCCAACCAATGTTCCCTCTAAGCTGAGTTAGCGTGAGCTAGCTCACAGTTTTTTAGCCTCCGGCTCACACATTTTTGTCTTTGCTCAGAAAAGATGGCTCCAAAGCAAACTGATTTATGCAGCAGCCAAATCGATTACTCACAACATTAATGCCAGTCGCTCACAAAGTAGAATTTTTGCTCACAAGACCCCACAGCTTAGAGGGAGCATTGGATCCAACCCAGGGTTTCCAGTCCATTAATGGAAGGAGAGGGGCATTGTTCCAAAGAAATGGCAGCTTGAGAAGGTTTCCTGTTTTTGCATTGGTAACTTGTGCTTTAATCGCCTCACTGGAGTGTGACCAGTCAGACTGAAAGTCTATAGTCTCTAAGGTAATTACAAAGAGCCAAGCTGAGACAGTGACTCAGGTCTTTGTTTGAGACGTGGGTAAGCCACGTCCATATCCACATTCAATTACTAGAGGAAACTGGCAGTGCCATTGTAAGCAGAGCTACACCCTTTTAAATGCATTGAAGTCCATAAGTTTAGAAGGGAGTTTCTCTGCTTAGGATGGTATCGTGAGTTCCCTTGAACAAGTTATGGTATCTCATAATCATGTATCCCAAGTATGTGACCATTTGTATCATTAGTCTGTATAATCAGGACGATGTCTGTGAATATAATAGCCTCAGAATCTGTAATAAATGCTCTCAGTTAAATATAATTATTTGGACCTTTCAAGGAATAATAATCGTCATAATGATTCTGTTCAAGTTTCAGAGAAGGCCCCCTCCCCCTATTCCTGCAGAAGAAGAGGAGGAAGATGAGGAAATAGTAATCGCCATGTATGACTTCCAGCCCACAGAAAGTCATGACTTGAGACTAGAAAAAGGTGAAGAATATACAATCATTGCAAAAAACGACATTCATTGGTGGAAAGCTAGAGATAAATATGGGTGAGAACTGTTGCTTCTATTTCAGCTCTTTTATCAGTGCGTTAAATTGCTCTTGCAGTACAACGGATCAGATTAGTTATGCCTATTTTGGATATAGTAGGTAAAGGTAAAGGTTTCTGTTGCTCTAAAGTCAGTCGAATCCAACTCTAGGGATGCGGTGCTCATCTTCCTTTCCAAGCCGAAGAGCCAGCGCTTCCAAAGACGTTTCCATGGTCATGTGGCCGGCATGACTAAACGCCAAGGCGCACGGAACGCTGTTACCTTCCCACCGACGCGGTACCTATTTATCTACTTGCAATTTCTTGCTTTCGAACTGCTAGGTTGGCAGGAGCTGGGGCCAGAGACGGGAGCTCACTCCGTCATGCGGCACTCGGGTCTCGAACTGCTGAACTACTGACCTTCTGGTCTGCAGTTCAGCGTCTTAACCACTTGAGCCTCCGCAGCCCGCTAATTTTGGATATGGCTGATGTTAATAGCAAGCCAGGTATGCTGAGGAATATTCAGATGTATAATGTTTATGTTGTGGACAAGTCTTCATGCCTCTGTAGTAAGCCATTCTGTGGGGGCTCAGAAGGGGCCAGTGTAATGTAGCAAGAAAGGCCAGGGGTCCACAACCTTTTTGACCACCTGGACACCTTTGGAATTATGACACAGCGTGGTGGCTGCCATAAAATGGCTGCTGCAGGAGAGGGAGCCAGCTACAAAATATTTGTCCCAGCTTAACAGCGTTCCGTGTGCCTTGGTGTTTAGTCATGCCGGCCACATGACCACGGAAACGTCTTCGGACAGCGCTGGCTCTTCGGCTTTGAAACCCTAGAGTCGGATTCGACTGGCTTTTGAGCAAGGGAAACCTTTACCTTTACCTTTAACGTCAATCACCCAGCTGTGCTGTGGTCGTGGCAGCTGCTGTCAAAACACTGTTTTTAAAAATCTACACAGCCAATCAGATCTCCAGTGGCCAGTCAGAAGGCTAGCTTGGCAGAAGCCCCAACCAGCCCTACTCACTTTCTAAAAACATTTGGTAGGTGCCAGATAAAGTGGGGGGGGTCCCCTGAGCTAGACTGTTGGGTTATATCTCGTTCCAGTCTGCTTACCTATGAAGCTTGTTGGATGTCCGTGGACAAATCATTATCCCTCAGCTTGACCTGCCTACATGCTTCTGTCGAGGCAAATGGCTGCTGCAAAGCCATCAGAGGAAGTATGGATATCAAATGAAATAAGAAAATTTTGACATTATACAGTGCAATCTGGTTAATGTATACACGTTGTTATGTGAAGAAGGCTTGGCATAGCATTTCTGGGTTTAGTTTTCTTTAAGTGAGAGAGCGCTGGAAACTTACCATACTGTGTCTTTGAAAATAAACAGGAGTATTATAGCTTCTTCAAAACTAACATGTTTTTTATTCTAGCATAAGCTTTTATGGACTAGAGCCAATGTCCTCAGATGCATCTATAGTCCAAAAACAGCCACATAGAGGGGTCACCCAAAAAACTAAGGTATATACGCAGTATACTCTGATATACAGACTGTGATCTAAATCCAGTTCATTTAAAGAAATGTTCCCACTTACCACTAGTGGATTATGGATCAGGTTTACAGATTGCATAACAATTCTTGAGTTATGTCTGCAATGGTCATCTGCTTCAAAATCTACTTCAAACTATAAGGGGGAGTAGGCATACTAGTAGCCCCAGGTTTACCCCAAATCTGTACAAAAATATGAGAAGGGTTTTTTTTAAAAAAATGGGATGGAGTTAAAAACAAAAAACCCAAAGAGGAAAGGCAGTGTCTACATGTGTGCAGACATTGCAGGGGGAAAAGGGTGATGCTCTAATTCAAAAGGGTGCCAAACATTTGCCTGATGGGCGTCTTCATCGATGGCTCGGGGCTAAAACTGAGCAGGATACACTTTCAGCTCCAAACCACTCCCAATTACCATGCTGCCAAAGAACGTGCTTGCCTGGTGAACAACAGTGGCTTGAGGATGAATGGGTGCACAATATCATTTCATCCCCAAGTCATCACAGTTCGAGACCAAAGGCCAGCAGAGTGGGAAGAACAGGATTTCCCCTCCTCTGTGGTTCCTTGCAGGTTCCCTGCTCGGTTTTTAAAGTAAGGGCCATGCATCTGATGACATGGACTCTATTGCATGAAAGCTTATAGTACAATAAAAAAAAATTAAGGCGCCAGAAGATGTTTATTTTTGGTGCAGCAGACTACCCCTCAGCACCCAACGTGCCTCATCATCAGCCAATTCACAGCTGATTCTCTCATCCTGCATGACTCCCCTTCATTTACAAAACATTTTAATGTTTGATGTTCACTGCCTTGGCGACCCTGATGGGGTGGGAAAGTGGCATGGAAATGTTTAAAGAAATTTATTGCAAACTTTTCATCTGCTCTCTCCTCACGGTATGCTAATATCCCATTCTGACCCCTTCAAGGAACTTTCACAGCAAATAAAGAACGTTCACCTTCTTTTGTCAAAGGCAAAACCCATTTACTATAGTCAGACAGTACTCGGGCAAATTACTGTACTCAGACAGCAAACTTGATGTAAGAATTACATGAGACTGGGACATACCAGAGCCCTAAACCCAGTCAGCTGGAATCATGCTGGAACAAACAAATCCAGAATTTGATTGCTGGCTCTTCAACGTACAATAAAAACCTCTCTCTTATTAGCTTCTAGGAATATAATCTAGTATTAATTTATTTCCACCTGGTGAGACTGAGATACAGATAATGGCCAAGAGGGCGGGGTAGAAGTTTAAATAAATAAATAAATAATAAATAATAAAAGTACAGAGATTCAGTGGAGCTGCGGTGGCTCCAGTGGTTAAGACGCTGAACTGCAGGCTGTGGAAGGTCCGTAGTTCAGCAGTTCGAGACCCGAGTTGCCACGTGATGGAGTGAGCTCCCATCTCTAGTTCCAGCTCCTGCCAACCTAGCAGTTTGAAAGCAAGAAATTGCAAGTAGATAAATAGGTACCACTTCGGTGGGAAGGTAACAGTGTTCCGTGCGGCTTGGTGTTTAGTCATGCCGGCCACATGACCACGGAAACGTCTTCGGACAGCGCTGGCTCTTCGGCTTTGAAACGGAGATGAGCACCGCAACCCTAGAGTCGGAGTCGACTGGCTTTCAAGCAAGGGAATCCTTTACCTTATCCTTACAGAGATTCATGTGACCATGAACTAATCAACGGTAGAAACCAACGTTCTGAAAGCAAGCTGTTGAAATGTAGTTTTATTATTACCTTATTTGTCATTAAGTATGGGCTGAAAAAGTTACTTGGAAGTTCTATTGATGAGAGAGCCAGAGTGGGTAGAACAATGGACTCAGGCTAGGAAGACCCAGGTTCAAATTCCTACTCAGCTGTGAAGCTCACTGAGTGACCAGTTGAATTCTCTCTCAGCCTATCTCACAGGGTTGTTGTTGTGAGAATAAAATGGAGGAGAAACACACACACGCTTAGCTGCCTTATACCGAATCAGACCTTTGGTCCATCAAGATCAGCATTGTCTACTCAGACTGGCAGCAGCTCTCCAGGGTCTCACCAGTAGGTCACATGACCTACTGCCTGGTCCTTTTAACTGGAGATGCTGGGGATTGAACCTGGGACCTTCTGCATGAAAAGCAAAGACTCTTCCACTGAGCCACAGCCCCTGCAGGCCCCCAGTAGGGGTCAGACACCAGAGGTCAACATGACTTCCAGGTGCGCACAGGCACACACACACACACGCACACAAACCATGTCATAAAGGAAGGGTGGGGTTAAAACAATGTAAAAAATAGTATTACCTAGACATTCTTATTACATGTGTCATCTAAGCATATTATTTGCTTACCTCTAGAAGTATAGGATATATTCCAAGCAACTATGTAACAGGGAAAAAGTCCAACGATCTTGACCAGTATGAGTAAGTATACATTTATGAATAATAAATTCTTATAATAAATTCATTATATCTAATTCTTAATGTGGCCAAATCTATCAGTACTTAAATGCGGAGGCTGGAGCCATGAACAGAGAAGATAGACCCTGCTACAAACTTGAAGAGGCAGATTTGCAGAAAAATCCGAAATCTTAAAATGCATTGGGTAGCAAGTTGCCCTGTTGCTACCATCCAAAATAACAGAACTGGCACCTGTATCTTTAAGAAATGAATACCCACAGCAGTCATCGCTAAGCAATCACAATAGAACTGTCAGCCTTCAAGCGTTGGTTTCTGCCAGTAAAGGCATGCAGAGGGGACAGGACACTTTCCAGGGCTATTTCAGCCTTAATGGGCTGTTTTGGCTCGATGGGGCCAGACCCAAGCAGCAACCATAGAGCAACTTGCTACCACAAGACTTGCACGAGTTACCCAGGACTGGCTGTTTGCTGCTGTTCAACAGCAGCCACTCCACAGAAACTAGTGTGGTGTAGTAGTGGTTAGTTTCAGACTAGCATCTGGGAGAAGTAAGCAGGAAGAAGGGAAGAAGTATAGGAGATTTCAGGGAAGGGAAAGGGGAGATAGGGAGTGTGGGGAATAGGGAGTGTGGGGAAAATGAGATTGGCAACTGGATTAAAATAGCTGGCTGAGCCAAGTGCCAGCTTCATTTTGTGGCTGTGGTGTTGGACTAGGATCCAGGAGATCCAAGTTCGCGTCTCCACTCTCCCATGGAAAGTTGCTGGATGACCGTGGGCCACTCAATGGGTGCGTTCAGACGGGGTGTTTCAGCCGGCATAAACTATACCGGTTGGAACTGTTGCAGTTTATGCTGGCTGAAATGCGATCACACTTACCTCCTGTCTCCGGAGCCCATCGCTGTATGCCCGTTCACACACAGCGGGCATCGGCAGTTTTTTTTTTAACTCAGTTTGCGCATGCGCATAGGCAGACATCCACAGAATGGCGATCTTTGCGCATGCGCAAAACACCCCGTCCCGAAAAGCATGTCCTGAAGAGAGGACTTACCTTTAAAGTTTAAAGAGCAAACTGGCCTCCCTGAGGTCCCGGACTCCTCTGAAACGTTAAACTAAGGACCTTTTTTTTTTTTTTTTAAACAAATGCCGGGGCGAAGCTTTGCCCAACCGCATATCGCCGACCTAAAAAAAAAAGTCAGGCGAAAATCGGAAGCCTCGGGCTTCCGAACGGAAGTGGCTCTACAACGGTGGAGAGCGATCAGACGGGGGTGGGGGTGGTAAAGCGATTACAACCGTTGCACTCAGGATACCACCACTTGGGGTCCTAGTGGCAGAATACAACGGTGTAAAGCTCTTTGCAGCAGTTAGGGACGGAAGGCAGATGTTCGCCGTGTGAACGCCGGTAAGTACACCGATTCCAACCGGCACCTGTACCGTTGCAAATGCCCCGTCTGAACGCACCCCTTGTCACTTAGGCTAATTTACCTCACAGAGGAGAAGAGAATGGTGGACACAGCTTTGGGTCCCCATTGGGGAAGGGAAGCAGGGGTATAAATATCTCTTTTTTAAAGTGAACATCCAACTTGGCTGTAATCTCCTTGCGCCCATTAGATGAGAGTTCAGTTGATGTAAAACCCATTCCTGATTAATGCCAGAAATTCTCTCTCTCCTTAGGTGGTACTGTAGAAATCTGAACAGAAGTAAAGCAGAGCAGCTCCTCAGAAATGAGGTAATTTGCTCATTCAGAATTCAGAAATGAGCCATTTATATTGCTGTTGTTATTTGTGTTTCTAAGCGGAGTAAAAGACTACAAAATATTTTTAAAGCAACACGAGTAAGCATCCGAAATAATTTATTTATTTATTTATTTAATTTTATTTATACCCCGCCCTCCCCGCATGCGGGCTCAGGGCGGCTTACAACCATATGGCACATAATGCAATAAAATACAATAAAACAGTTTAAAACAATTTATTTATTGGGTATATAAAGCATTTATTTCCTTGGGTTTTTAGGATAAAGAAGGTGGTTTTGTGGTGAGGGACTCCAGTCAACCAGGTTTATATACAGTATCGCTTTATGCAAAATTTGGAGGGTAAGTGACTGGAATCATTTATTATAGTTTCCCTTACCTCTTTCTTTCTTGTCTGTTGGCAAGCATCCAGTATTTTCAAGGGAAAATCTTTGTATTATTGAAAGTACTAACACTTTGAAAGTAATTGGAAGCCAGTACAGCTGACATAGGATAGGTGTTATATGTGCTGACCAGGACACTCCCATCAACAATCTGGCAGCTGCGTTCTGGACTGCTTGCAGTTTCCAAAGCAGTGTGTGTGTTTGTGTGTGTGTGTGTGTGCTGGCTTCCAATTACTTTCCGGTGGTACTTACCTTTGAAGCCCTAAACAGCCTGGGACCTTCATATCTTCGGGACCACCTCACCCGGCATGATCCTCCCCGTCTTCTCTGATCTTCATCTTGGAATTTAGTGAGAATCCCTGGTACACAAGCTGCCTGTCTTGTGTCAACAAGGGTGAGGGCTTTCTCAGTAGTGGCCCCCGTCCTGTGGAACCCACTGCCTGAAGAGGTGCATGCCTCGTGGGACCCCCCCTAAGTTCTGCAGGGCATGCAAGACTGCTCTTTTTCAGGTGGCCTTTTGGTGATTGTGATCCACCACGCAGCTGGTATACTTGAGCTGTGTCTTCACCATCCACGCATCCTGCCCTGCTTGACAGTGGATAGATTTTGATAGGGATAGATTTTTAACCATTCTATATTATAAACATTATTCATTGTATCTTTGTATTGTTTTTAGTGGTGTATTTTGTATGCTATATATTTCCCCAGGTCCTGTTCGAGGGAAAGGAAGCTGGATATAAATTTGATAAATAAATAAATAAATATATTTCACTATCCAAATCTTTCCAGAGAATTAAGGTAAAATGACAGAGTTCCGTTCATCCAAACGGGCAACTTGATTAACTAGCTGAATCAATTGACCTCCTGACCAGTGTTCCCTCTAAGCCGTGGAGTCTTGTGAGCAAAAATTCTACTTTGCGAGCTGCTGTTGCTGTTCAGTCGCACAGTCGAGTCCGACTCTTCACGACCCCATGGACAAGATCACGGCAGGCCCTCTTTGTGAGCTACTGGCATTAAAGTTGTGAGCGAGCAGTTTGGCTATTGCATAAATTAGTTTGCTCTGGAGCCATCCTTCCTGAGCTAAGACAAAAAGATGTGAGCCGGAGTCTAAAAAACTGTGAGCTAGCTCACACTAACTCAGCTTAGAGGGAACAGTGCTCCTGACTTCTGACTTTCATCTCATTATTAGAGTAAAAATATCTTTCACCTTTCAGATCTTCAGCAATCAAGAGCACATCTAATCAGACTTGCCACAAACTGCCTGGCTTTCTTTTTTCTTGGCAGGGTCTAGGTCAAACATCAACTCCACATCAGAGGCCTGCTTTTCTTCTGAACATATAAAGATGCTTTATAATGAGTTAAAATGTCCCGCCTAGCTCAGTAGCACCCCCTCTCCAAAGTCTGTGCCAGAGATATTTCCCAGCTCTGCTGCCTGAAATTCTTTGACTTGACAGTTTTCTTTAGGTTCCCTCCTCATTTTACCTTTAAATGCCTACATCCTGTAGCTCAAAACTTTCTACTCGCAGAGGGTTTCAGGCCTCGAAATCAGCATCTTCAAAAATACATGCTTAAAATCAAAAGTTAAGCAAAGTTTTCAGATTATTTTGGAGATTTATTTGCTAAATAATATTTGTAGCAAAAGCTGTCGAGATTGTTCGTTTCAGATGAAGTGGCTTCTTTCTTATGTGTTGCTGTCTCCTAACTAGTCTTTAACGCCCCGGTCTGTACTGTTAAAACTTACAAACTGCTCAGGTTATTGTCCTTGATCAGATAGGGGCTGCCTTGTTTAGAGTTCCTGTCTTCTTCGAGTTCTGGAATGTGTTATGGAGTCAGAATGGATTTTGGCACCAGTTGAAACAGAGTGGCTCAGATAATGGGCCTCAGTTCAGGGCAGGGGAATTCAAACTTGATCATTTTTCTCCTGCTTTAGAATGGTATTGAAGAGTGGGGGAAGGTAGGCTTACTTAGAAGTGAGTCCTGTTGAAATTACTGGGGTGGATCCAACCAGTTTTTCTGCTGAGTCTTGCCCAACTTTCCTTCTTACTACAGCCTCTGTCTCACAGGACACTTGTCCATCCCAGTCCTGTGATCAGCAGCAAAACTTTTTGGGGTGGTCAAAGGAAACCTCTCCTCCATTTTTTTATCAGCAGAAAACCTAGTTGGATCCACCCCAATAGGACTTATGTCCATGTGAAAATCGCTACAATTGGTCTGCAATGTGGGCAGATGTACGTTATTCCAAGTGAGTTTAGGTCCAAAAATATCTTAGTTGCGCCAAATGCTTGGCTTGGATCCACCACAGTTTTTCTGCAGGTACAAGAATTTCTGCCCATGGAGTGTGATATTCTCCTGCAGCAGCCTGAAATGCTTTCCCCCTCCCCTCCGTGAACAGCGGCTGGGGGGGGGCATATTTCAAGCTGCCCCAGGAGTGGGGAGGTGAGAAACTTGCATTCCATGGGAAGAAATCCTTGCATCCATGGAAAACCTGTGGTGGATCCATACTTTACTTTGACAAGCCTTTATTGGCATACGTATATATTTATTTATTTAATTTCATTTATACCCCGCCCTCTCCGCACGCGGGTTCAGGGCGGCTTACATAGGCACAAAGTGCAGTAAAGGTAAAACAGGTTAAAACAGTTAAGACTAAAATTCACATCAAACAGGATACACGAGAGACTATAAATACACACTCCCCAATGCGTATCAGGAAGGGATCAGAAAGGGGGGACGCCATGGGCCACGATGTTCCAGATGACCAATCGGCCCAACCCGGCGATACTGCTCTGCAGTTGCACGGTGGTGGTAGTGGCGGCAGTGGCTCCTACTCAAAAGCCTGGCGGAAGAGCTCCATCTTGCAGGCCCTGTGTAACGGTAAGAGGTCCCACAGGGCCCTGATCTCTTCCGGGAGCTCATTCCACCAGGTAGGAGCCGCCACCGAAAAGGACCTGGCCCTCGTGGTAGCAAGCCAGGCCTCTTTAGGGCTTGAGGTCACCAGGCGGTGTTGTGACCCCAACCGAAATGCTCTTTGGGGCCTGTGTGGGGAAAGGCGGTCCCTCAGGTATGCCGGACATACAATAGGAGATCAGATTAAATATAGATCAGAAAATACAAATCCATATAGGGTAAAATTGGAGCTACGGCACAGAAAAACAGCATGAAAGCAGAAACACCTAATTGTTACTTATCAGAACGTATAGCCATAGCACTAAGAAGAAACCTTGCTACTATTTCGGTTATTTCCGTATCTTGATTATCAAGCAAAAACAGAACCTTAAAATCATCAGGAATTTCTGAGAATTGAGCTAATATAGGATACAGATGATCCTGGCGGGGCACCAGATAAGAGGGACATTGTGGTGGATCCAAGCTGTTATGAATAACAAAATGTAATTCACTTGAGCAATTGAATGGCTGGACATTGCTTATCAGGTGTCTCAAAATGCTGAGCGAAATATTTAATGCCTATGATACGTAACATGTAAATTAAAAAAAACTTACTCTTTTTTCAGAGAAGGGTCCTCTGGAATAAGACACTACCATATCAAAGACACAATGACCTCACCAAAGCAGTACTACCTAGCTGAAAAACATCTTTTTGACTCCATCCCAGAGTTAATTGAGTATCATAAACACAATGCTGCAGGTAAATGAGTGCTTTATCATTTGAATGTGCAATGCTGTAAGAAACCAGATTTATTACTTAATAGCTAAAAGGAGAAGCCTTACTAGGTTGAGAGCCAGTTTGGTGTAGTGGTTAAGTGTGCGGACCCTAATCTGAGAGAACCGGGTTTGATTCCCCATTCTTCCACTTGCACCTGCTGATGTGACCTTGGGTCAGTCACAAGCTCTGGCACAGCTGTTCCTGAAAGAGCAGTTTGTGTCAGAGTTCTCTCAGCCCCACCCACCTCACAGGGTGTCTGTTGTGGGGAGGGGAAGGGAAAGGAGTTTGTAAGCCGCTCTGAGACTCCAAGTGAAGGGCGGGGTATAAATCCAATCTCCTCCTCCTCCTCCTCCTCCTCC